AATTTCTGAGAGCTCACTGATAAATTGAGACCATTTCTCAGAAAGTGTCTCAGGAAGCTGAGTATCCCATTCTAACCCTAAACACCAAATGTGCTGCATTAATGCCTTTGCCCAAAAAACCAGCGGACAAATTAGCCCCATGGGGTTATAAATCTGAGCAATAAAAGAAAGAAGTGCTCTCTTTGTATGTACTCCTAAGGGTTTGGGTATAGCATAAGAAAATTTGTCTGTTTGTGGTATCCATTTTAAGCCAAGGACACTGTGACAAGGTTGATCAGTGCTTCGAAGCATGAGGGGAGTTTCACGATGATCCAGCGGAACATTTTCAAGAAGTTTTTCATTATTAGAAGACCATTTTCGTAGCTGAAATCCTCCTTTGAGTAGTAAATCGATAACATCTTGCTGTAAGTCAAGGGCTTCATTTAAAGTGTCACAACCTAACAAAGCGTCATCAACATAGATTTGATCTTGCAGAGCTTTGGCTGCTAGCGGATGGTTATCACCTTCATCGGCCATTAGCTGTTGGATAACACGATTGGCTAAATATGGACTTGAACTCATGCCGTATGTAACCATGGTTAACTGATACACTTTGATCGGATGAGAGGGCTCTTTTCTCCAGTAAATCAATTGAAATTTTCTATCATCTTCATGAATTAATATCTGCCTAAACATTTGTTTTATGTCACATGTGAAGACATATTTATGTTGTCGAAAGCGAAAAATTATATCAGTGGGATCGTTATGCAGTTTTGGGCCTTGGTGTTGTAAGCTGTTAAGCGAGATTCCAGTAGAAGTTGGGACCGAACTGTTAAAAACCACTCTTAGCTTGTCTCCTTTAAAAACACCATAAGGAGGCAGGAAGAAGTGAGGTTCGTCTGAGGGCGGAATTGATTCACAAATTTCCATATGACCAGAAGTCTCATAATCTTGCATGAATTCAACATATTTCATCTTGAAGTCTGGTTGAGCAGCAAATTTATTTTCAAGTGAGTTAAACATACGTTTAGCTACAGGTGCTGAAAGACCCAATTTCTGAGGGGATTCCTTAAACGGTAAACGACAGATATATCTACCGGTATTGTCACGTGAGTGTGAGTTTAGGAAATGTTTTTCACACTCTGCATCAGTTGGCGAAATTTTCAAAGTTTGAGGCGGTTCTTCAATTGACCAGAATCGTTGAAGAGTAGCATGAAGATCTAAGTCGTTAGTTGAGAGAAGAGTGGATATTCCACTAAATTGAAGCGGTTGATTGGAGGGAGCAATAGGTGCGGCACCAAGCACAACAAAGCCAAAAATTGTTCTCATAATGAAGGGTAAATTTTCTCCCATACTTACAGGCGGCTCAAGTAAAGTTTGAGGGAATAGATCCGCTCCTATCAATAAATCAATGGGACCTGGCAAGTCAAAGGTTGGATCGGCTAGCATGTATTTTTTCAGTTGAGCTTTGATGAAGGGTGAGAGTTGAACTCGAGGCAGGTTACTTGTAATCTGATCAAGAATAAGAACAGGATGAGAAGAGGCCAAATTTGACCCACTGAGGGAAGAGATATTCAGATGTGTGAAACCTTTAGGCTTTATGTTAGCCACAGAAATTCCTTTGATATCAGGGACGCCAACAGCAGAGCGTTTTACATTTAATATATTTGCACAACTTTCTGAAATAAGTGTGGTTTGTGAGGCGCTATCCAAAACAGCACGCAAAACGAGACCGTTTCCTTTGTGAGTAGAAACTTTCACTAAAGCGGTTGCAAGCAATACAGTATTATTCTGAGTACGAGCCAAACCCATAAGAGTATTCGATTGATTGACATGATCAGGGGACTTAACATTACTTGTACAGGGATCAGTGTTTGCTTCATTCAATCTTGTTTGAGCCTGGTCAAAATGCAGGAGAGTATGATGTCGTTTTGAGCAAGTAAGACAAGTCTGTTTAGATTTACACATTTTAGGTTTGTGCATACCAAAACAGTTTACACATAAGTCCTTACTCTTAATGAAGTCAAACCTGTCTTTAGTATTAATGCCCCCAAATTTAGGACATTTGAATACTATGTGAGTAGTAGCGGAGCAATAAATACATTTAAGCATTCGATCTTTGTCGTTAGACGACAACAATACAACATTAGCCCTATTAGTTTTAGCCTTATTCGCAAAATTAGATTTGATTGGGTGGTTGCTCTTATTTTCATTTGGTGAAAATGTTTTGTTCGAAACAGAAGCTAACTCCGCAGCCTCCTCTTGTGTACATTTATTTTCCAAGAAAAGAATTAATTCATTGATAGTAGGGACCTTTTTTGAGTCATTACGTGAGTGCTCAAACTTAGTGCGGAGAGCAGAATCAAATTTACGCAAAATATGCGTTGTCAAAAGCAAACTTTCATTAGCAATATCATGACCAAGAGTTTTTAAGGCCTGGTAGTTTTCATTGTAAACTGAGAGAAATTTCCGCAATTGTTTGACAGTAGGCCTAGTAAGTTGAGGTAAATCTAAGATATTGTTAGTATGAAGAGTGATTAGCAACCTTGTATTGTGGTATCTATCTATCAGAGATTGCCATGCTATAGCATAGTTCGCAGCGTTAAGAGGCAAAGATTTCACCAAACTCAATGGCTCATCTGAGAGACAGGATAGCAAATATGTAAATTTTTCTATGTTACTGAGTGACTCATTAGTATGAACTGCATTTTCAAATATGCTATGAAACGACATCCACTGGTCTGGTTGACCAGAGAATTTACCTAAATCCAATGAAGGCAATTTTATTGTCGGAGGTACAGCCACAGCTTGTGCTGTTGAACTAGCGGTGGACTGATTCAATTGCTCAGATACTGCAGGTGTAGGTATTAATGTGCTACATAAGCTACTAATATTTATGTACAGGTCAGATATTTTATCTTGAAGTTCGGTTACCTTTTCATCTACGATGTCTTCAGGTAGGGGAGTTGTAGAGAACAACTTATTAACAATTTTTTCAAATTCAGCATGTTTTTGAGAAGCTGCAGTTGAAAGTAACTTTATTCTATTTATTTGTTGATCATTTAAAGATTCAAGGGCTTGAACAGTACTTAATGTTGTAACTTGCTTGTCAATACTACTAAGTCTTTGTTCAATAAGTTGACTTTGCTTGACAAAAGATAAAAATCTCATTTTGGAATAGAATAGTCAAACACACAATAAAACTCAAAAGGTCTGTATAAACTCCACCTTGGAATTTATAAATTAAAGTTATTTCTTCACTAGAAATTTCAATAACTTATTTTGCAAAGTATTTGCAATATAAAATCACACTAAATTATTTACATTTTAATTTTCTTTCCAGAAGTTCCAGAAGTATCATTTAATACAATAATGATCAATCGACAATATTACTGTACAAAGCAATCAGCTGTTTTCGTGATAGATGAGAATCAATAACATTTGTAGATAATCAGAACAAGGAAAGGAAGGATAATTATTTCTGGCTACACAATGAATATCCTGGAATGCAAACAGAATACTGAGAGGGGAAGGGGGGTATGTCTGCTAGAGATAAGGCTCATGAAATGGCTGAGATATAATCATGAATATTTAAAATTGGACATGAAACTAGACTTTCACTTTTGTGCATGTTTGGAAATGAAATATGAAAAATCATCAAACTTAAATATGTTTGATTTTGAAAATATATAGTACAATGTCCTATGATTTAAAAAAATCAATAAAACAACACTGGCTTATTTAATAAATGTTCACAAATTATAAAAATGTGTTTGTGATAAAATAAAAAATGTATTTCACAATGAAATTAAATCTTAACAATTCTTTAAATATTTCCAACGCACTGAGTTTATCCGTCCGGCTCGAAGTACCAAAAATGTGGGGAATTTATGTTAATTAGAAAGCAATGTGGACTGTATTATAGTAATTTTGAATTGGATACACTAACCTTTTGTTATTAAACTGATGCGTAGACTGGGGGCCCCCTTTGATGAATCCTGAAATGCTATAATGTTGATAAGTTCACTTTTTCACACTATATGATGTTAAAAAACACTTCAATTGTCTTTATAATAAGTTATAAGCCAGCGGTAAATATTTATGTTGGTAAAGAGGTTTATGGTATTTGAAAATGTAGGAGAAAAGGCATGTTAAGTCCTCATAGCAACAGGACTTGCCCAAGAGTGTGCCACTTTTCTACTGAAGGAAGGAGTTGGTCATGTGATACATATCAGTGACCAATCAGAGAGCTAGTCTTGAAACCATTGGGGTTTGAAGATACTGATGCACTCTATGAGGAAAACATTTAACTATTTGAAATGGTATTTAAATGGAGATTGTGGTGAAATCAGTTACATATTATTAGAGTGCATTAAAATTAAAAATTAATATAAGAATACTTAGAACAAAACAGTATATATTTTTGACAAGATCCTTATGAGGACTTATTAGCATATCGTTCTACTCCACTAAGCTGCGGTTACAGTCTGCTGAGCTCCTTTTTTATAGGAAAACCAGGATCACTGTTCCTATTTCAGACGAATCATTGAAGCCTAAGTGGCCAGACTTGGAAGGCAATGGACAGTTCAGCGAACGAAAACACAAAACTACAACAGAAGACACAACGTAAAAGAGCTACATGTTTTGATTACGGGGTAAAAAGTGTGGGTGTCTAACCTGATGTAGCCTAATATATACTAGTGGTTGGAACAAATTTCAACACATATGGTCAACATCGATGGGAAATTTTATTGAAGGAGTTCCCGCAAACAATAGATTCCAAACATGTGTTGACCAATTAAATACAATTAATAAACCAGCTGTCACTACAATACCCAGTGACAGAGTCAGTCACCCTTTTAGTCACCTCTTACGACAAGCCTCAGAAGGCTGCGGTCCTATTCTAACCCAAAAAAATGCACAGGGGATAACATTTCTTATAAGCTAGTTGCTAGAATACAACATTGAATTTATTTGCCCTGAATTTATTTGCCCTAGTAATGAGCATTATTGTTTAACAGCGAGGTGGTGTGTGGGCGGGACCTGACTTGGAGCTGTTGACCGACCTTCATAACCAGTTCAACACCAGGTCGGACATCACCGAGACAATTGTTAGGTGTGTTTCTTGTGTTAAGTTTTAGTTGTAGTGGAAAGAAGCTCATACCTGAAGGAGTACCTACTTTACGGTAGTGGTAGTTCTGACGCTCCAGAGCTTAAGTGTAACAACGCAATAAAACAATATTGAAACAAATACATGCTGTTGCTGGTTAAACGTTGAATGCACTGATAACATTGCATACCCCCCTTGATTGATACCCTTTAATGAAAGTTCCTTTTATAAGCTACTTTAACAGGATCACTGTCTAACCACAGATGATGTTATTTTTACAGTAACAATGTATGTGCCGAAAAAATTTTATTTGTACTGCTGACTTTACTTGTTTCCCTTAACTTTTGGAATCAGTTGAATCTTCAACTTTAGATTGAAGACATTCCACTCCTATCATGTTGGAGGGTTGAGTAATTATTCAAGTGTTTAAAAGTACTTGAATCAAGACTAGTAGTTCCTTTGATCAATCATGTAATTTCAAACATACTTTATCATGTCAAATGTTATTAATAATTATTGTATGATGGCTATTACATTTGTATGAGTTGTTGGATGTGTAATAGTTATAATTTACCACTAGGGCGTAAAATGACTTCTTCTCATCTCAAGCTCCAGTTTCACTGAAAATGAGCAAAAAGTTGAAAAGAAACTTTTTGCCCATGTGAAGAACTACCTATATTTTTTGTGTTATTGAATATTTGAGCAAACAAAATCACAAAACAAAAAGTATGTAAAGATAACCTCTCAAAACGACTTCCACCTTTTTACTTCTCTGTGTGTGTGTGTGTGTGTGTGTCTGTGTCTGTATGTGCGGATGTGTACAGAGCTACAGACTACACCTGTGGTCCGATTTTAATAAAATTTGATATGTAGGTACTAATCCAATTTGATATGTAGGTACTAATCCATGATATCTCCAGGCGTTTTTCCATTTTTAGAAATTTTAATTTTTAATGGTGATTTCCCATAAAAACCCATAAAATAACAAAATAATACCCCCGCCGCAGCAAACCTGCAGACTAAGCAAATTTCCATTTGACTGATTGGATTCACACTGAAATGTCTACTTAAAAATATAACATTTATTCTTGATTTAAATAGAATTAGTTTAACAAGTACTTAGGTTTGCTGCATCAGGGAGGGTAAAACTGTTTTTTTGTTTTTTGTTTTTTTTGTTAAATGTGAATAGTTAGTAAGAAATGAAAATATTTTCCAAATTTGATCAAAATATGTTCACAAACAAGCAAACTACAACAGTTTACTTATTCTCCATAAGAATAACATGGGAATTTTAAATTTACAATTTTTTTGAATTTTCTCCGTAACCATTAGGCGCATAATAACGCTTCAATATACTAAATTATTCGTTTTTTTAAGCTCTACAAGATGGTTTGGAAAGAAATTGCTAAATTTTATGTTTTTTGGGTCAAAAATGGGAAAAACCTATTTTTACCCCATAAAACCCCCCGTAAACCCCCGTTCCCATGGTCCGATCATGCTGGATCGCGAACTCGTTCGAATAAACGTACGTTTACACGTTTGTACCAAATTTCATCAAAATCGGATCATTTTTGCTCGAGTTATCGTGCTGACGGACACACACATATATATATATATATAATGAAGAAAGCATATTAACTCAGTACCCTGAAATTATTTTTATTTTTAAAACTCTACATGTTTCGACCTTTAGGCCATTTACAAAGGGGTCTGACTTAGGGGAGGTACGAATGAGGCATTAGTTCAAAATTCCTCCGTGAACAGCGCTGTAGTAGAGAGTACTTTGGCAAAGAAGGTTTACTAATCGCAAAAATAGTTCTGTTCATAAAATAAAATTATAAATGCCTCAAATTCAATTTTATTATTTTTTAATTATAAAATTAAACCATCATAACCTAACCGAACTAACCAAACTTGCTGTTAATGAAATAATATAACAAAAGTTTATTAATAGAAAAAATAATTCTGTTATAAAAATAATAAAACTAGAAATTGCTCTACTAAAATTTTATAATGACTTAATAATAAAATTAAACTGTCATACCCAAAACCAAACCAACCAAACTTGCTGATAATAAAAAAAATCTTGGACAAAAAGTTAATGCCACGAGCGGGATTTGAACCCGGGACCTTCAGCATATCAGCCCGGCACGCTAACCATTAGACCACCGAGGCCGATGACTACTGATGGTTTTGTTATGGTAATGGCGTTCCCTCAGCTAATAAGAAGCCCACAGCTGTCATCATAGCCTCTTCTATACCTCCCCTGAGTAAATACCTTTACAAAGAGTAACATTTAACCTCACTTCAAACACAAACAAATTAATTAACAAATAAACATCATGTGATGATCTTTACATATGATTTTCTTTTTTCTTAAAATGTATAGTAAAATAATCTTTGGTCATGGAATTTTGTCATATATATATATAGAATTTTATTATGGTTGTTTAATTTATCCTCCTCTTGATGTTTGTGTTAAATATTCTTTAATTTTAAAATTTTTTCATATATAGGATTTTGTTTCTTAACTTGCATCGTTTTGATTATATTTGTTGGATCATTCTTGTAGCTGCAGTATATATGATATTCTTCTTTTGTATCTAATTTATTTCCTTTTGATCCATAGTCCAAAACTGTCATATCTGTTTCTACTTTAGTGAATTTATGATTCTCATTAAGCATGTGTTCTGCTACATTACTTTTCATACTAGTCACATTCTTTGATTCAAAGTTATTGTAAATTATGTTATTTTCCCATAAAAACCCACAAAATAAGAGAATATCATATTTAAAAAAAAGCCGGTTTTGATTTAAATTAGTATGTGATGGTCCTTATTCTTAACAACATAGTGCAACCCTCCCCACATTGCTGTAAAGATTATGGTTCAAGAGTTATTGTAAATTCTGTTAATTTCCCATAAAAAAACCCATTAGTCCAGCAGCTAGCTATACTTTAGTGTGCAAACTTGCGTATACTCAATATTCTTGCATAACGTTTTAGTTTGATGTCTAGGGAGTTTAAAAAACCTGGGTGTTTACCTCCTACCCCCCACGTTTTCCGGCTATGACGACATCATAATGGTGGCCGTTGATTTTTTTAAAGCGTATATTTCGCAAATTATTTGTTGGATCGGAATGAACTTTTTTTTGTTTGAAAGATAAGTTTGAATGCTATCTCTTTTACATTTACACATTTGTTGTATGTTTAGTACATTTTTCGTAATTTTGCAAAAACCTGTATTTTTTTAAATATTTTTGTGTTATTTTTGTTTTTAACCTTTTATTGATACAATATATCAAAAACCACCAATAAAAAAAAATTGTAGAACATTTAAACAGCTTTACAAAATTACCAAATTTGATATGTTTTACTCAAAAGAATACGTTAAGAAACTATATAAATCTCATAAAAACACCTATTTTGGCGCAAAAACGCCTATTAGTCCGGCATCTAGGGCAGTGCGAAAGTCTTAAATAGACAGTTTTACCATTCAATGTTGATGTATGTGTCTAATGAAGTGTTTTCAACTCGGATGTCACGTCTGCACTGTGAGGTACCAAATTTTGAGGGGGGTAAAAAAACGTATTGATAGTCAACAAACACCATAACTTACCCGATTTTTATCCACAACATCCTACTCCTAGGCCTATGTGTTGGCCATAGCTTGGGCTATGGGCCAAAGAACGTAGGCCTACTTTTAATAACAGTGAAGTACACAAACACACCCACAACTACATATTTATTCATAATGGCACTCTTTTTCACCGTACAAAGTTAAACCGACCGATTTTACAAGTATTTATCACGGACAACGGCGACATAACCTAAAACTGGTGTTTGTTGATTGACGATAACAGACGATAACTAGACCGAATCCCCGATCAGCTGTTGGCTAGGTTTGTAGGCACTTATGCAAACCAATCCCTGTCTCTGATCACGGACGGTATGGTTATCTTGAGTGTGGGGGGTTCTTCCCGGAACCTCAATTGAGTCAAGGGTGTCGCCACCTCTGGTGGATAGGTTCATCCGGGTGGGTTCCACTTCTATACCTGCCTCCTTTTGGGAAACCCTGATGGCCTGGCAGTGATGTTGGGTCTGACGGGCAAACTAAGTAGATCGGGTGCTGTTCCCCTGCATATCTAAACTCTCCACAAGATCACACCACTTAGTTTTGCGATTTTCGGCAATGACTGACATAAGCTCTTCACGTGCTAGAAGTGTGTCCTCAGCAAAGGGATCATTGTCAAAGAGACCTTGGTATCGTTCTAGCAGTGGCTTTGCCTCTTCAGAGAGTCTTGCGATGTAATGGGTTCGACAGCCTCTAGGTATAATTTTTCTCGAGACCTGCTGGACAAGCTTAACGAAGGAGTCATACATATCAGGTTGTGGAGGGATATTGGCGATTTCTCTGTCAATGATCTCCCTAAAACCCGTCCAGTTGGCCTTTTTGAAATTAAACCTGTGCCTTAGAGGAACAACTTAAGGTTTAACAACAGCACTAACGGTGCATACTATAGGTTTATGTTGAGTTCGGGGAATCGGATCACTTACAGACTTTTCACACTGGGAGGCAATCCTGCTACTCAAAAAGATGTTGTCAGGGTTATAACCCCTCTTCCATCTACCGCTGTTAAAGGAGCAAGGGAGCTTAGGATCGTGTATGAGCTGCAGGTCATTTGCCTCAGCCTAGGTTTCAAGTTTTGTCCCATTTTCACTTGTCTCTTTGTATCCCCAAGCAATGCTCTGACAATTAAAATCCCCCAAGACGAAATTAATGTCATCATTGCATAGATTATCGGGCTCTGTAAGATTCGGGAGGCTTATACAAAGAGATGACACTGTACTGTGGTGTCCTGACCATTAGTATCTCAGTATTGTTCCTCTCAGTCAGCGAAGCTGAGGTGATGTCATTGTATGGCCTGGCAAAAACAGCACTACCATATTGATCATGAGGTCTCTCTAGAAAAGTAAAACGTGTTGTGTGAACCTAACACGTTCCATAACAAATATGTTGTTGGTTGATGTTAGATTTACAATACATTGATGATTTAGTTAAAAATTGGAATATTTGTCAACAGTGTAAGGTAGTGAAATCTTTCAATTACATTTATTTAGTACACGTTGTAAGATTCTTCTTTACATGTTGGCTTCAAATATAGGTAGGTTTTTCAAGGTGAAACAATTTAAACTCGAGAAAGACATTGTAATACAGTATGATGCTAAGGGTATCAATACGTAAGTTTGAAGTGCATAAGAATTGCATACAGTAATGTATTGTCATACAGTGTGACGCTAAGGGTATCAATACGTAAATTTGACGAAATGCCGGCCATTTTACTATACACAAAGGGTATTGAAACGACGACGATGTCTAAACTGCCGCAGGAAATGTTCCTGATTTTGCTGAGATCGGGGACGACGACGATGACGCTTCCGTGAGCGCGGCAGTCAATGGTGATGTCTACACGTCCCTGGAAGATTTCATGATAAAAAAAACCATAATTGGCTATTTAGAATTTTGCATTGCTGCATTTTGTCTTTTTTTTAACCATTATCTTAATAATCGTTATGACATAAAGACAGGGTGTGTGTATTACAACCAAATTATTTAGAAAATTTGGTTAAACTATGAATAAAAATTGGTATTGGTATCAAGAAACGAGAATTGTTACATTTTGGTATCAACACTCACTATTTGTTGAAAAAAAAATTATCTTGAAAAATCTGGAATTAGTCTTGAAAAGTCAGGAATTAGTCTTGAATTTGAAAATGGAAATAAACTAGACAGCCTGAATACACCACGACCAAACCAAGGCAGCCATCACAAGGCAAATGACTGCTGAGACCACCGCTGGAAGGAGGGTAGCATTGGTTTTGGGGAGGGGGGGTGGACGCTAAAAATAACTCGCCCTACGTCAAATTTACATGCAACACCCAACTAGGGATAAGTCAGTGTATCTTTGACAATTAAATCATATCAGTACAGTTTTTCATTTCTGTAGGCTATCTGCTATATTTCGTACTAAGTTGGCAAATAAGTTTCTAGGGTTTACTTTAAAAAAAAAAAAAAAAAAAAAAAAACAGACTTTGATTAAATTAAGTTATAAAATTGAATTTTGTGATGAAATAAACCTCTAAATATGTTGTTGTTATTTTATTTTTGTCATACACTAATAATAGAAATGATGAGGTACAGATGTTATTGAATACAATTTTCAATGGTAAATAAGTGGTTACAACAATTTTTCAGGGGGTGGGATTCGTGTCTAGACTGTGAATCAAAAGATTTATTATAAAATACCTACAATAAGGATGTAAATTGAACAATAATTTTGAAACAATATTTTAGTAAGATTATTAATTTTCTTTTCTTTTGTTACTGTTAATGAAATTGAGGTAGTTTTAGTCCCAAAATGGATCCTGGAGATGTCTATAGTTTGAGTTAATAATAAATGGAATGTTCTCACCAATCTTCTATAATAATAATTTTCTTCTGGATAGGCTTAAATCCTCCTTTCTTCAGTTAATTTGGATATTTTGACAATACTTCATTTCATAATTTCACAATTTATTTATCACAACTGTGTTTCTGTATGTTCTTCTTGGATGCCTTAACTGCACTGTCACTGTTCATTGTTGTAAATAATTTTGTAAATTATGGGGTTCACATAAATAAAAACATGGTTGAATTTTAGTGATAATCTTGAACCCAGATGTACTGTATTTTAAATGGAGGAATTGTTTTGAATAAAAATAATTTGATAAGTCAATGAATAAATTTTGATTAAAAAAAAATATATATATATATATATATATATATATATATATATACAGGGTGGTAAAAAAGTCCCTGGACAGTTAAATATTAAAAGAAATAATGCAGATAGAGCTGCAATACTTGGTACAAAGTTACAGGGCATAAAACTCTATTTTAACACATATTCAGTGATCCAATAACTCTTCAGGGGGACGGCCCACAAGGAGTCGGAAGAAAATCTTAAATGGAAGCATAGGTCAATATGCACATTAAATTAAAGGTCTTCTTTAGTAGAATACAATGCCGCAAACCGCACTTCAAAAGGTTGATCCTGCGCAAAATGGCAGATGTTCAAAGATTTCTTGAATCCGCCATTTTGAATCTTTGAACGACTGCCATTTTTTACTCAGGCATTCTTTTGAGCTTCAATTTACGGCATCGTAATCTACTAGTGAAGACCTTTAATTTGATGTGCATATCGACCTATGCTTACGTTAACAATTTTCTTCCGATTCCTAGGGCTGTGCCCCCTGAGGATAAAGCGTATAATAGCAATGTAAATTAAATGAATCTTTGAACAACTGTCATTTTGTGCAGGGTCAACCTTTTGAAGTGCGGTTTGTGGCATTGTATTCTACTAAAAAAGACCTTTAATTTGATGTGCATATTGACCTATGCTTCCATTTAAGATTTTCTTCCGACTCCTTGTGGGCCGTCCCCCTGAAGAGTTATTGGATCACTGAATATGTGTTAAAATAGAGTTTTATGCCCTGTAACTTTGTACCAAGTATTGTAGCTCTATCTGCATTATTTTTTAAAATATTTTACTGTCCAGGGACTTTTTTACCACCCTGTATATTTATATATATGTTGAGACAATATGGTTTTAGTAATATTAACAATGAACATGAATAGATATTAAAAATATAACAAGATTTAGTTTAGAATTTAATTAGGCCTAATGAATATATTTGTAAACATTGGTTTTTGAGTCATTACAGTGTCTAAAATCAATATTATATGTGTAACCATTTCATACTGTAAATTTAAGAACATTTTCCTCTTCCCGCTCCCCCCCCCCCCCCCCCTATTGCTAATGCAAAGCATGGGAAACTGCATTAAGAACGTTACAAATGTCGCCAACCTTGGACAAAGGACGTTCAACATGTTAGTTAAAAAAATAATTTTCACTTTCTGAATGTATTAAAATTTTAAGTACTGTAAATGTATTTTGTATTTTACTTCAAGTAAAAGTACTTAAGTTTTTTGTGACATTGTCAACTTATTTCATTTCTTGGCAATAACGTAGTATTGTATCTTTTTCATTTCATTTCAATATTTTGATTAGTCAAAGATTTTGAATTCACCTCTTGGATATTATTTTTACAATATTGAGTTAATAAATGGGACATGTCTACAGAGCAAACGACAGTATAACTTTCGGCTACAACTGTGGAGGAATGCAGGTGTTCTACCACCAGCCTTGTAGTGGCGCTGTGTTGGCAGGATTGCCTGCTCCCTCAGATCTCATGGGGGTGGTAGCACTGAAGGCCAAGCGTCGTCTGGAGAGGGACCATAGCATTGTCTTGTTGTAAGGTGAGACAAGTTTATGTATCATCATTTATTTATATTTACATTCATAAAATATAAAATTTTAGATGCTGAACAATGGGGAGCTGATGGTATCTTGATAGATACCATTTATATACAATCCTCGTACTTATCTAAAATTCAGAAAAGTTGTTTTAGTGATGTATCATTAACCCTCGAGCGGGCGCTTGTAGTTTTTGTTAATATAAATATGCATAATGGGTGTCGGCATCGTGTCCAGCTCTACACTTCACGCACGTCATCCTGGGAATGCCCCTAAGCTATTTTTACCCCCGAATTCTTCCTCATTTTGTTGTCAGTTGCAATTCAGTGACGCGGTGTCAGTTTGCAGAGGTTTACTCCACGTGCGCCCTATCGCGTAAGTCCTTAGCGCAAAGTTTATTTTCTCATGCGCTATTGTCAAACTGCGTGTATATTTTATACATACAAAATTATAAACATGTTTAAATGTATTATTTAGTTTATAAACACAAAAATATCGACCAAATATACTACTCAGAATCAAAATCAACACAAATTAAACTTAAATAACTCAATCAACACTAATGAATAACGTGTGGTTCAGAACAACATTATTGTATCAAATCAAATCAAATCAAAATCATCTTTATTCATTTTTATATACAATATGTATACATAAATGGCGTCAATATAAAACTATTACTAAACTTAAAGACTAACATAGTGTTGCTTAGTTTTTGTATGGAATTCATTAAAACTATAAAATGCACCTTCAATTAGAAAAGATTTTAAAACATTTTTAAAATTGCCAGAGGTTATTTTATTTTTAATTGAAATTGGTAGGCTGTTAAAAAAGATAATCCCATTATAGCTTGGCTTCTTTTTAAAAAACTCTTTGTTATGTTTTGTAATTTGAAAATCATGTCTTCGTCTAGTATTATATTCATGTTTGTCGAGATTTTTTGATAATGTGCCAATTATGTTCTTTATATAGAGAATAGTGTTAAAAATATAAAGGCTGTAAACTGTCATTATCCCTAATTCTGAAAAATAAGTTTTACAAGGAGTGTCATATTTTAGTTTTAACATAGTTCTTAATGCTTTTTCTTGCCAATATAAAATTCTATTCATGTTAAAATTTGAAGTAGCTCCATAGACTTCAATGCCATATGTTATGTGTGAATGAATTACTGAATAATAAACCGATTTAATTGTTTTCAAATCACAGAAATTTGACAGTCTCTTTATAGCAAAGATCCCAGAACTTATTTTAGAGCAGACTTTATTAACGTGACCTGTCCAATTAAGAGTACAGTCCAACGCTAAACCTAAAAAATTAGTATTTTCACAAAGGTTGAAAGGTGGCGCTGTTGAAGTAATAGATTTTGACTTCCTGCAAGAAAATTTAATAATTTTTGTTTTATTTTTATTAATTAATAAATTTAAGCTATTTAGTTGGTCATTAATTATATTGATTGCAGTGCCAATTTCAGAAAAAACTTTATTAATATTTCGGTCAGAGATTGTTAAATTAATATCATCGGCAAAAATACTGAAATTGTTATTAGCTGTAAGTGTATGTAGACAGTTTGGCAACTTTCCCAAATAGCAAAGAAACAAAAATGGTCCAAGGACAGAACCTTGTGGTACAGAATAATTAATAGATCTGGTTTTTGAATTGATTTTAAAAGCTTTATTATTTTCAATGTGTGATATTTCTACATATTTTTGGCGATCTGTTAAATAAGATTCCAACAAAGCTAATTCTTTGCCAGATATACCAAAGAAAGTTATTTTTTTTAATAAAAGTGAATGGGAAACACTATCAAAAGCCTTTGTTAAATCTAAAAAAGCAGCTACTGCTTGGTTACCTTCATCCAGTTTGTTAATCACATTTTCAACAAAGGCTATTATAGCTGTTACAGTGGATTTTTTTTGCCTAAAACCATGCTGTTCAGTGTGATTGGAAAATAACAAATTATTATTTTCCAAATATTCTGTCAATTGTAATAACATGCATTTTTCAAAGAATTTTGACAAAGAGGGTAGAATTGAAAGAGGCCTATAATTAGACGGTTCATTTTTGTTTCCTTTTTTATATAATGGAATTATTTTGGATATTTTTAACTGAGAAGGAAAAACACCTGAAATGAGGCATGCATTTATAACATGAAGAAGTGGTTTGAGAATTGCCCACTTAGCATCTTTAATTATTTTTGTTGGGATATCATCACACCCAGAGGACCATTTGCTTTTGATTGAATTTATTATTTGAATCAACTCCTCTTCTGAAATGGTTTTGAACCTAAAAGTATGATTAGTTAATACTGCATCTGTTATTGGTCTATTTATTATTCTCTTATTCATTTTAATTTCAGGAATAATTATATTCTCTACAAGGTCAGCATACAAATTATTCAATATGTTGACTACTTTATAAGGATCAGTGACACATTTACCTTCGTGGTTTAAAAATAGCTCTGTTTTTGATTGATCCTTGCTACTGTACAGTTCCTTTTTGATCAATTGCCAAATAGATTTTGTAGGGTTATCTGATTTATTTATTATGTTTTCAAAATATTGCTTTTTCTTTTGTATTACAAGATTTCTGTATTTCCTTTTTTGCATTTTTAAGTTTTTTTTTACACAAACATTTTTATTTCTCCTTTTTTGTCTATAGTTATCTATGAGCTTAGTCCGTTCATGTTTTATTTCCCAATCAATCTAATTTTTTCTTTGGGGGTTACTTCTAACATTTATTTTTGGAAAGTTTTTATCAAAATTATAAAAATATGAAAATTTGTTATCAATTGGTGTTTGATATAGTTTGTCCCAATTTTCATTTGTCAAATCATTCACAAAGTTTTCAATATTTGGTTTTTTAAAACAACGTTTCATTTCCCACAGCCTTATATTTTTATTTGTATTTTTGACATTATCCAATTCAAGAATTTGTCCATCGTGGTCAGAGAGTGCAGTTACAAGACAAATTACCCTTACATATGTCTTATTAATATTTGTAACAAAGTTATCTATTGCCGATTCACAACTATCAGTTATTCTAGTAGGAATATTTACTGTGTAATACATGTTATGTGTCTTAAGTAAACTAACAAAATCAATTTTTTTACAATCATCGGTCAATACATCAATATTAAAATCTCCTCCAATGCATAAATTAGTATTAAAACTTGATAGAAAACATAAAAGTTTGTCCAGGTTTTCTAGAAAACCAGCAATATTTCTTGAAGGAGTTCTATAAATGCCAGCTACAATAACCTTAACATTGTTCAATTCTAATTCGACTGTACAAGATTCAAAAATCTTATCTGTGTTTAAATTATCTATTAATGAATTAGTTAGTTTTTTACATCGAATTTCTTTTTTAACTAAAATTAATACCCCGCCTCCTTGATTCACATTCCTTACATAATAACTCACAGTATTATAGCCAATCAATTCAAAATTTTCAATTTCAGTTAATGTTAATTTGTGCTCTGATAAAATAACAACATCTGGTTTAATTTCATCAATTGTGATTTCTAAAGAATCAATTCTGCTACTTAAACATTGTATGTTTTGATGGAAAATATATAATTTCTTACTCTTACTGGCTTTTGAAACAGGTGCTAAATTAGTGTTTGTTTTGGTTTTTTGTTTCTTAAAAAATACTTCTTATGATTAATTAACTTATTATTTACATTATCAGTTTCAGTTCTTGTTCCTATGAAATTTTCTTCGATTGAGCGTAGTCTCCTCATAAATTCTCGAGCTTTACTTTTGTCAGGAGTTTTGAATCCATGGAAAAGGGAATCAGATGACATTCCAGTAAGTGTCTGGCAATCTTCAGAGTTTTTGTGCTCAAGTGATGTAGGTGATTTATGGTCTATTATGACATTACTACAGTTCACTTGTTCCTTAGATGGGTGGTCATGTAGAACAGCAACAGGTGTACTTGCTATTTTGACACTCTTCTGAGATAGAGTCTGAGCATCTTCAGGTAGGCTCGCAGGAACTCTTAAATTCATCTCTCTTGTGATGCAGCTCCGTAGCATAGCTAAAAATGTTTCATATTCTAGCCCATTCTTTAGCACTTTTGTTGGTTTCTCCTTCTGAGCAATTATTTCCACCCTTGCCCCAGTGATGTAGTGGAAATCCACTATATTTTTGGAGAAAATATTTAGTGATATTTTGTCCCTCACACAGCCCAATGGAGAACAAAGAAGTCTTTTGCAGTTTTTCTTTTTGAATTCCTCTGTGAATTTCTTGAAAGCTAGGTTATAGTCCATGACTGTGGGTTTACTCCTATAAATATCCTTGGTCACAAGCCCATAAATTGCGGCACCTTGCTTGTTCTGGAGAGTAACATGGCTGTTTAGGCACTCTGAACGTAAAGGTCGGCCAAATTTCTTTCTGAAGGCAAGAGCAACACCTCTACTCATCTGTCTTTCGTCCTCAAAGTCACCAGAAATTGAGTGGGCAAAAGCTACAGACTACACTATTAGCTATTTACTAGGAGATGGAGATTGCAGTCATTCTCAAGGAGTTTGACCTGGGTATAAGTCACTCTAATTGATATCAGCAGTAACAAAACTCAACACAATTTATCTTACTTTTTAACTACAAAACTCAAATTTATATTACAAATTTAAAAGATAATGGCTATATACTGCCCCTCCCTACCGGTACCAAGAATGACCTTCATCCACCATTGTTACTTAAATTCTAATTCAAATGACCTTAAAATAAACTCCTTCTATCTCTTACAAACCATTTTTCTTTTATATACCTGTCCGTATTCCGTCTCAGGATCTAAACATTCTAAACACCTCAGGAATACCCGGCGCCTCCACCAGCTTGTCACACCCCCCTTAGCTACTCGCTTGGCTTACAATGAGATTAAATATTTGTTTTACCTTTTATCCCTTCGGGGCGTGGGGTGGACTGAAGTGAAGAGACGCTCAGTTGCTCAAAACAAACTTTAATTTGACACAAAACCAAGAAAAAACAACTTAACGTATCATCAATAAAACTCACACAAAATATTAATCAATTAACGCTCTACTTCGGACCCTCCTTTACTATATTTAGACCTGTGGTCTCCGGCAACCCCAAATCATGTTACCATCTCGACCCGACACTCCCGTCGCGTCCATGGACCGTCTTCTACAAGCTCCCCGTGGCGACTGACGACTGACTACTGTAGACTCTCGTCAACCAGGTACTCCTAGGTACAGAAGTTATCCCCGGTGGCGGGATAATTGCCCAGACGCGGGGAAATTATGGGGCCCTGCGTCACAATAATTTGCAAAAGCTTTCATTTAAAGACTCGTGAGCTTCCGATTTGTATACAGCAATGGTTATATAATCAAATTACTTATTTCCTATAATCAATGACAAATCACAGAGTAACGAAACTAACCTCATAGTTATATAGAATATTTTTGTATTCAACCAGCTGTGAGTTAAAACAAATGATATTCCACTAAAACAAACTTAAGACTTTAAAGACTGCTTTAAAAAATAATTTTGAACGTCTAGTATTTTACTATGTATATTTAAATAATCTACCAAATAAATAAACGTATCAATCATTAGGCCTATAGAATTACACATAGGATAAATAAGTCAACCCTAAGTATGTCTTTAAATTTTTATCCAAATGCTGAATTTGTGCCACAAACGCTGTTATGTTAAGCAAATTATATTATATACCAAAAGCTAATTTAGAACTTAAGCGTCGGCTGCTAGAATTTTCAAAAATTAAAACTTAATTTGTAAAAAACTGGGTCCCTAAATTAAAATTATGGCTTCGACATTCCCTAGTTCTCAAATTTATCTTTCTTTCAACACAAAAATCATGAAAATCCGTCGAGTGGTTGATTCAGAATCGTGAAATAAAAAAACCCTGTCACGTTTTAATATATAAGAATGTTATGAACAAAGAAACTAGGTTTATGATTAGGTTATTCAACATTTACATATTATATTTCGTTATAAAAACAAGTAAAATGGGTAAAATTTATGTTATTTAGTGTTGCGGAATAAAACTCTGCATGCGCCCGCTCCTGTTTTACTGGTGAAGCGCCTCCTCAAGGGTTAAATAAAATTACTTTAAGCTTAGTTGTAAATAAGTTGAGTTCACTACAGATGAGTTAGTAGAGTGGTATTTTTCTGCACGTTATTTAGATTTGTTCTGTTTTAGTCTATATTTCCCTATTTATTTCCTTGATGTTTGAGAGCTTTAGTTCTAATTCAAGTTCATTTAGCTTTTGTTTTGTAGCTCTTAGAGGCAAATGGGGTGTTTTTGTGAATTTTAAGTAGGGGTCTGCGGGCCATACTTCTTTACTTTAAGTTGGGTAAAAATAGTGCACTGTAGTGCATAAAATATTTTCTTACTAAAACAGTTATTTCTGCTACCTGGTTGTGCATTTAAATTAAAATGGCAGATAAATCTTCAACTCTTCTTTCAAAATATTACAACAGATTATAAATAATGGATAAAAAGTCTTAATAAATTATTTATTGGGCAAGATTTTATTTGAAAAGGAACCTTGTATGGTAAATTGGAAGATTTATGCCCTGAAGAAAGATGTTTCAGTTAAATTAAAAATGCAAGTTTAAGTTGTGAAGCATAGTTGGTACAAGGTCACAGTGATTCTGCAGAGCGCAGGAAAGTAGTGCCAAAGTGGCACAAACCAGCTTGTTACTGAACAATCACTAACCAGCTGTCTGCAGAATCGGCACATCTACAGCCACAAGTTTCCCAACCGGGAAGAGTTAAGTTATGTTAAAATGATCTGTTGATAAAATCAAATAAATTTATTGTGCCTCTGTTTAAAAAGATGTTGTATTTTTAGATTGATTATGAACAAAACAATTAAGAAGATTATGTGAATCGTGCTGAAGCAAAAAAGAAGATTCATCATCCAGGCTAGAATTGAAAAATTATTACAGTCAAAAATTGGATTTTGTCTTGTAAGTTGGGATTACTAAAAGCGCAGTGTATGATGTGATAATAATAGGCTATATTTCCTAAGCTAAGTTACAAGTGTAAGATTGTTGTAAGTGTTGCAAATTGTTTTAACCCGGAATAGTTTATTTATAAAGCTTTAACTACTTGTAGAAACAATTTCATGATAAATTATTGAAGAAATGTGCAAGTGTTCATCACACACATTAGTGGTAGAAAATGTTTGAAATGTTACAAGAATATTCTGAAAGTAATCAAAATATGTCTAATAACACTCTTGAAACATATATTTTTACTTATACTGTTAACTCGCAAGGCTTTACATATTACAAAAGATGGTAAGGTGTGATTGATTTCAATTGGACACTCAAGACCAATCATCAGACCCATAGGTGCTTACTGCGTCTGATCATGGTTGCGCCATCTTTTATATGTACTGTATTTACCGTCTTGTCAGTTATCAGTATCTTCTTCTTATATATTACAGGGATTTTTTATTTCACAATTCTGAATCAACCACTTGACAGATTTTGTGTTAAAAGAAAGATAATTTTAAGAGGGAGAGGAGAGAATGTTGAAGTTGTTTCAGTGCTGGTTTAACTGACAGATGGTTTCAAACATTCATTAGAATGTTTATTTTACAAGATATTAAAAGTTATGCCTACATACTATTTCACTTAAAAACATATTTTTTTCTTACTGTAAAGGATCTGCGTTTTTAGGAAATGTGTGATTTTTAGCAACACATCTCAAACATTTGTGTATAATCAAGTTTCGTCGTAACTGCAATCTGTGTAAGTATAAGTTTATGTCATTAACTAAAATTTTAACTCACGCTAAAATATTTTACTAAGCAAACTATCGCTTAACCGTTTAAGTAGTTTATGTGTTGATACTTCTTTTCTTGATGTTTAAATGTGTGTTTGTCGGCATACCAAAAAAACCAAAATTATTGTTAGTAATTAAAATGTCAACCGGTTTAGCCGGTCTCTAGAAAACTGCCAAATTAGCTGCAGGATGTCAGTAGAAACCAAAATTGATTCAGGGTGCTTTCCAAAAGTAAAAGGCTCGGATGCAGGCTATGCGTGGTGGAGACGACTTTAAAACATGTATTCCAAGGAGTACTACAAGGTACCACTTGGAACCCACTTGGAAGACCAAGAATGAAGTGGAAAGACCAAGTAATGAAATACATCTCCAGACTAGGATCTACATTAGAAGAGGCAGGGGATAAAAGAGAATGGGAAGCCAGAATCCCCTTAAGATTTCAGTGGCCATGGAGGTATAGTAAGGTACCTCAGATCAAGTACGATAAGGTACGGTAAGTATCTAAGCTCAATATCGTAAAACACGATGGATTTTATTCGATAAATATTATGTTTAGAGCACTTTTTCAAAACATGTCATCGGCAACATTAAGAGAGCAGATTTGTCCATCGATTTAAGAATTATGTAAATACATTTCATATAGTGTTATCACACACTGGGTTGAGAATGGTTCTCGATGAATGCAGAGGCTGTAGATTTCGCGAGGTGGGATCACCGGGTGCGGAAGTGATTTATATTCGCAACTGTTAATGAGATGAAGCTCTAGCTTGAGCCGTTACCACACACTCGGTCCAACACCTGTGTATAATACACATCGCTGTATATTGTATAGTTATACAACTCGCATTCGTCTTAGTATATTTTGTATGGAAAACCTGGTTGAAACGTTATTGTACATTATGTTGTCCCAAAAGTGTGTATAATATACTTTCACTATTGTATAGTCCTACAGTTAAGCTTCTCCTATTTGTTCTATGTATTTTTTATTTGTTCTAATGTACAACTGTCAATGATTGCAATCTAAACATACAGGATGTGTAAAACTCTGCTGTATATCACGAGAGGCGAGTAAACAAATCAGGTGATTTGAGTGCTACATGTTTCGCTCACGACTATGGGTTGTAAAATATTGGTGTGCAGCTACTGTACTCAAGACCAGTGTGTGTGAATTGGCCGCCAATCTCACTTCAAGGCTTTTCAAATCAACACAATTGCTATTTTATTTTAAAATTATCAGATTTAAAATGCATATTGTATAGGCGTATAATCTGATTTAAGATATAGGTGGTCACAAGACATTTGTTTATGAGATGATTTTCCCCATTAAAACTGCCAGCATTTGTGTACGAGTGTAAACTAGCTGTTCTGAATTATATTCAGTTTTAATTACTACTCGATTCCCGTACGTAGGATGGGCCAACAAATTGTACGGGTAAATATATGTTTCACAGAGTGTTATTGTTATTAGATTATATTCAGTTTTAATTACTACTCGATTCCCGTACGTAGGATGGGCCAACAGATTGTACGAGTAAATATATGTTTCACAGAGTGTTATTGTTATTAGACATATTTCCATTCACAGTACTTTCTCTAAATTTAATAACAGGTACAATGCATATCAAAAAGCTATTTAAAAGGAAATAGCGATGTGGCAGAGATTGTTCTACGTGCATAATGCCGTTACCAACTAAATGCTTTCCATTACAATGATTATTCTATTTGTAAGGTTATGATTAGGGCCAAATGTTTACTCAAACAAAACTTCACAGTATCTAGGTATTTGTCAGTTGTGCAGCCTTTTCATCTCATGTCAATCTGTCTTTACCTTTGTTTAACAATTAATTTTGGGTCCTAAGTTTGGATCCATTATTTACGTATCACAAGTCCCATTGTTTAATTTTTTGTTCAATCTTTCTCACTAACAATTAATTGTCATTGGGCAGTGAGAAAGATTGAACAAAAAATTAAACAATGGGACTTGTGATAAGTAAATAATGGAACTTTGAGAACTTGTTTTATATTTTTTGCCCATTAAAATTTTGGCGATCTGGGCTACAGCCTAGTCAGCTCATATACGAAATTGGGCCTGATGAAGCCACAAAAAGATTATCAATGCTGTCCAACAACAAGGTGCCCTAAATTACGGATATTTCCTGCTGTTGAAAAAAAAGGCAAACATAGTTGATATTTTGAAAAATAAATGTGTTGTTAAAGAAATGATTGGAATTAGAATGAAAAAAAGGTGCTTTTTTCTAAGTCAGAAACAAACAATGCTTTTAAAACATAATTAGTATAGGTTGAAGTAGATTTATTTTAATTTGTAATTTTGTACACCAAAACCGTGCTGCTCCAGCAATTGTAACACTGAAGCTATGTATTAGCTAAACATAGAACTATAGGTACCGTACTTAAATTAAATTATGTTTAGAGGTAAGGATAGTAGTGTAATTGTAGAAACAGTAAGAGAGCACTCTTATTATCATACAACTTATTTTTAAAGAGATTTAAAGAGAGGGTATAGATTACTCTATTCTTAATGAAGCTATGGGCTGCCTCACAAGAGTTGATCTCAAGATTGCTAACCATACAAATTTCACATATTGTGTGTAGCAAAAAATGTAAAATTTAAGAAACAAAAGTGTGTCTTATTAACTTGCCTCCTACGAAAAATAAATTGAGGCGATTTTGCAGGCATCCAAGTTTTTCAAAGTCTGTACATTTCTCAAAACAAATTCACATTTCAAAATAAAATATTGAAATTTGAATAGGACTTTTCACTAACCTCTACTCACAAGAGAATGTCCTAAAATGGTTATTTTGGTTGTATTGCATGAGCTCAAAGTATAGCATGCAATAGGCATCCATCGTAATAGGAACACATTTTATTGGAATTTGTATCGAATGCTTTGGGTTGATGATTGTCTCATGGGCTGGTTGTTTTATCTAGATGTCTACTTCCCTGTTAGTGTTGTCTGATTTTTTTTATCAAGGCAATCATGGAGTTTGGTACCATTTGTGAAATGCTTGATTGATTGACTTCAGATATTTATTTGATTTGCTGTAAAAAGGGGTTCTTAAAGGAGACATGGGAATGGGGTAGAGTTACAAAACATAAGACAATGTGCCAAATTAAGTTTTGTAAACACATTTCCTTTTGCTTAAACACTTATTCTTATTGAGTATACTTAAGTTGCACTGTGATATGAATTACATTTTATTAAGTTTTCGAGATTACCAGTTAGTTATAAGACATATTATTATTATTGCATTAGATAGGTGCTAATACTATCACAGACCATAAATAAAGTTGAACAGAGTACCCACAGATTGAACACTTTTGAAACTTGTAAACACCAATGAAGTGTTTAAAAACGAAACTTATAACAGATAATTTTTTTATGTTATTTAATTATTTATGTAATATGGAAATCCAAGTATCCTGTCACACACTTCTCTGTATTTTTCGGCTGAGGACAGGTTGATTTTTCTTTATTTCTGAGCTTACAAGCTAGTCCTACTAAAAGTTTGGGATTTCCATTGTTACATGCTCATCAGAGCAGTGTTTATTTGCCCAGTTCGGAGACGATGACGTTAAGACTATAAAGGTTTAGTTACGGAATTAACTCTTTGGTGAAACCCACAATCCTAATAGTCTACTGCTCATAATGTACAAGACCTAAATTCTCTATTTATGGACTGTGTCTAGTATAATCTAACTGTGCTAGTTTGTTAGTGATGTAGTAACAATAACTGTGTTGTAAACAACATTTACCTACGATCGTTTTTTTCAAACTAGCTTTTTCAGTTTGATTTTTAGAATCAAAAAGATTCACTTTACCACATGGTTTGCTTTCTTTACAGCCCTAGTGCAATAAAAAGGACCAATTGGGTTCAAGGATTAAGAGAAAATAAGTAAAATGTTAATGCTTTGAATGGCAATTTATCAACTGGTAACAAACAATTCAATTGTTGAGCTGCTGACTTCCTCTGGAAACTCACACATTCCTTACTTATCCTAAGAGAACTAAATGATTTGCTAACCAACAGTTGCAGGAAGGTTTATTAAAAGATTTTGAAAATGCAAGATTGTTCTTGAACGGTTTCAATACATTCAGTATTGCTAAAAAATTACATTTAGCCTACTTGTACTTGAGAGGTTACCTATGGTAATA